TCCTCCCGACACTGAACATTCTTCGACCTGTGGCTCGGCCTGTTTTTTCTGGATTGTCCTGCGGTGAGCCGCCTTGTCGAGCTTCGACCAAAAACTCTATTGCGCGTCCAGAACCCGACGTATCGAGCCGTTGCGTCATTTACATATTGTATTTAAAAAAGCACAACGAGTATTCAGGTCTATTATACTCAAACTGGCTGCGTTGTTGATAGGCAACCGCCTTGTCAAACCACCGGTTCACACGGATCGTCAAAAATGGGTTTACCTTATGGTCACACGGCGAGTACCTCCAGCTCTTGCCATAATGTCCCTTCATGCCCCCAATAGTTCCAGACCCGAGGGTCTTTATGGTCGCCTTGAATTCGGCTGGAGTCAGTGGAGTCGTATTGCTCAGTTCGACTCGGTTGAAACATGACTGAAGATGATGTCGGTAGCTCTTCGAGCCTTCACCGAGACAAAGCAGAGACGCAAGCGGTTATCAATGCCTAGAGAGTTTGTTTCGGTGCGATAGGAAAAAGTCAGTTCTGAAAGTGCGGGTAACAGACAAAACCTGCAGGAGAAGTATTGGCTTGAGATAACGAACTCTTGAACAAGGCCATACGGAAAACACAGAGAAACCCGTAGGCTCCTAAGGGCCGTTGGATTCTCCCCCGAATAGGTAGATGTGGCTGGATCTTCTTCGCTGCCAGCTCTATGTTGCGCCTACGTACACCTGCTGTCCTCCTGGCGCAGCTATGCGGCCAAGGTCTCAGTCGGGGGATTCAGACTGAACGATACCTTGTCGCCTATGCTCAGCGAGCAAGAGCAGCACGCCTGTTACGACCAGAGTTTTGCTTGATAATGAACCAGCAGTCTATTGAAACACGCCTGATCTTTATGTCTCAGAAACAGGGCCGTGCCGTGGGAGTGGCCGATCCGGTGATGTTAGAAATGTGAAGAGCTGAAGCTGCACAATGCAGTTGGGTCTCCGCTGCTCGCTCCTCTCCGTTGTCCTGCGACGTGAGGTTCTTTCTTACACAAAATACCACCATGCATTATTCGAGCGGCAATTTCGAGGCAGTAGGCGCAGGGGATTAGCGGTGTGGTTGACGGAGGATGAGCGGCAAGCGGCCTGCGCACTGTGCTTAGCGAGCACTTTTCAGAAATTCCGTGTTTTACTCTTACCATCACCACCACGCTTGCCCTTCCTTTGCCCAGACCTGCCCAGCGGATTCTCTCAGCGCCGTTACACCATCATATATCGGTTGCTGAAGGCGTTTCGCTTGCTCAAAGCAACGTCACACGCACATATGGTCACTGCGGTCGAACCCCGCGCTCAGGATTTTGCCCCCGCAATGGTCAGGCTGAACGCTTTACCGTCCACTTTGCTCGCCATGATCATGGCCAGGCTTCCGTACGAGTCGCTGTTACTCGTCACGGGAGTCTGCCGCCGCTGGCGCGAGTTGGTGGCCTCCCAGGAAGAATTGCAAGCACTCTTGTTTCGAAAGTCTCGTCTTACCGACAGTGCGGTCGGTGCGGTGTTTCTCCTTTCGCTTTGGAAGTTGCTAAATGATCTGTCCTGCAGTTCGCCATTGCGATTTGAGCTCGTCGCCGTCTCATGCCAGCGCTGTTAGTTTAGCTGTGGTGATTTCACCAGGATGCCTCTTAACCCCACTCTCTGCAGGTCCAACTGCATCCAATCCTCTGGCCATCGCGCATTCACTATATCATTGGATCTTCTCCCAACTCCGCTCAAATCATTGCCTTTCACTCGCGTCCAGCCTGGAGTACACGACTCGTTCGATGTCCCATCGCGTGCGACTTCGTTACACAACCACCTTACACCTCAGTCCAGATCCAGGCTCAAGATTTCCTACCTATAATCGTGGAAGCAAGCGACTCCAGCGGGGTGCGCGTTAAGGATATTTTCTTCGCGCTGCAAGGGAGGCGGTAGGTTCAACCAGATAATGATTTCTAGTTGGACCTAGCTCATGCATCCGTAGGCTTGAGCGCCGTCTCTCGTCTTCTAAGAAGCTAGCGAAAGAGACTGCGTTCCACAATTTGGTTCAACGATCGTCCTGCAGAACCTTGTAGGCGACATTCATCCTTCATCAGAACTACAGTTGACGTTCTTGACAGATTCTTCGCTGGGATGTCAATCCTACATCACGACCCGAACGACCTCATCCTACAACTTGCCGTTTTCCCGGGCTCGCAACTATAACATCTTGTCTCGCTCATCGATAATCGCTTTCAACTTCGCTCGCCCTGCTCTCAATTATTGCTATCCGTATCTATCCGTATCAACTGTGTAGCCGTCCCTGACTTTGACAACTGAGCACATAACCTTTCCCAGTTCTCGCCTCACCGCATTGTCAACTCATCCCGGGCCACGAGCTCCCTTCTCTTGCAATCCAGTTTCTTGTAACTCTCTAGCCTACATCAGACCCCCTTTCTCTCTCATGACATGGTGCTTTCCTCTGAATATTGTGATGGCGTGAATATATTGAATGGATGCTACATAACAGTGCACATGAGAGGAAGGGTGTGCTTGTGGTTCTCGGATGAGACGTTGCGGAGGGTGTAGGCAGGGCTGCAAAGAGTCCTTGAGTTGTACATCAGGGAAGAATCGTGAGTCATGACTTGTGCGGAATGTAGGGATGTGTATGTATCGGAGGGTGGCCGAGGAGGGTTTTGTTCGTGAGGAAAAACGTGATACACGGGAAGGAAGGATAGTCAAATATTCTGAAAGACCAGTAGTGTGGGAGATTGAGCGTAGCCTCGAGACAGAAGAGGAAAGAGAGAGTCACACAGTGACACAATGGGACGAGTGGAACAGGAGTTGGGGGTACAAGAGGCGGTATCACCGGCGAACCTTGGGCTTTTGAGCCGCTCGACCGACATCAGGTGGGCCGTCGTTGGGTCGCTTCTTGCCAGGCATGCCTTTGATCTTGACTGGGGCCTGCGTCTCCTTATCCCAGCATCCGTTGGACGGGTCGCACTCGGCCTGCTTGCGGGAGATAAGGCACGCCAAACACGACGGATCCAAGCTCTGATGCGTCGCATAGCACGCCCGTGCATGCCTCGCACCGGCATCCTTGCACGACGTCGTGCACCTCCCGCACGCCACCGGAATCGGCCACGCCGCAGGCGGCACCTCCCTGTCGCCATACTCGCAGCTGTGGCTCTCGTCGCGTGGCCGATATGCCGACTGAAGAAGCTCTTGCGACACCTGGCTCTTGACGACGCCGACTTCCGGCCTGTCGAGAATATTGGCGCGCAAGAACGCCAGCCCGGCGCTGAAAGTCAGGTTGGGGTATGTCTTCCAGATGTGGTCGGGGATGTTGAGCTCCTCGACAGCCGCCACGATCATCTTCCCTGCACGCGAGACCGACTTTTTCGGCAACAGCGTCACTATGCGGGCGGCGAGAACGAGAACCACGACTTTGACCACGGCGCGAACGTCACGACTCGGGATTTCGAGGATCTTGAGTGCGAAGTACGGAGGCAACGTCAAGTGAACGGCAAGCGCCATGATGTCCGCCGGCTTGAAGTCGACAAAGATGTACCGGAGGTCTGGAAAGTCTACTCCGAGAGTGCCTTTCTGAATGAGCGCATCCTTTGCTCGCTTCAGGCCCTGCTCGTCCGAGTACAAGTACGTCTTGCGTAGAGCCGTGAGTTGGCGCTTCATCACGTCCTTGTTATTGTCGTCATCGAAGACCTCAATTTCTCCTGGCCGAGTCGCTCGCGGCTTGGTCGGCGTTCGCACAATGCATGGTCGGGTTGGCGAGAATAGGGGTCGTGTGTCATGACCGGAACACGGTGAAGTTGGCATCGGTGGTGGAGAAAGCTCAGGAATTTTGATCTTCAGTAGGGCGAGAGCGGTGTCTTGTTCGGTTGGCTCCTCGACGGCGGTTGGGGCAGGTGACGGTGCGGCTGATGCGGACTTTTCAGATGCAACCTCGACGGCGTCTACTGGCGCTTGCGCGGTGACGACCTGCAGCTGTTCAAGCTTCTGCTGCATAAGTTTGTCCAGCTCCGCCGTTGCTTCAGATACGGCAAGGGAACGGTTTCTTTCGAGGTCTGCCGCGATGTCCCGGCTCTTCTGGGCCGCCGCGACCGCCTCTGCAGCAGCAGCCAAGCTCCGCTCCGTGTGCTGAAGGACCTCGGTATATGCATCAAGCTGACGCTGCAGGACAACAGTCATCGCAGAATCCGGTTCTGCCTTGATGGCTCGTGTGGCATCGTCGACGCTGGCGCGAAGGTCTGAAACACGGCCGTTGACGATTTGCCAAAACGCCTTGGCGGACATCAAATTCTGAACGAGTGGCTGCTGGTCTCTTTTGAATAGCTTCAGTGCGTGCCCGGCGCGTCCCAAGTCTGACTCCGCATTGCCGGCCCGCTGGTAGTGCTCGTCGAGGTGGAGGTTATCAAGCGAACGGTGACTCGAGGACGCAGTGGGATTGACGTCTTGGTCTACCATGGGACTTGGGTGAAGAGTTATAATGCGTGAATAGGTGAGGTCGGGAAAAAAGGGTGGTCGTGAGAGGGAAAGGCGTGCCGAAAACTCCGCCATTGTCTCCCGACTTGAACAAAGAACTGACCATCTCGAATATCAAACTCTACTTGACTCGCCCAATTCTCGCTCATAGAGTCTCATTCAGGTATTTTAGCAAGCGAGAAGTTTCTTGTCAGTAGCCTAATGTATGAACGACAGTGTCAGTACGCTCAAAATTTTATCAGCCAAAACGTCAGATTCGACATGACTTAGGCGACTAACTAGTAAAGTTACTTGACCTATGTCTTTGCATCTGACTTTCTTTGTTCTCTATCACAAAGATACGGTACCACTCCAGCTCTACCACGCCGCCACACAAACACCCTCTTGAACAATCTCTTCCCTGCGTATGCCACTCTTTCAAATTTGTCGTTTGGGTCAACACACACCCGTGAGATCCCGAACGTCCATCTCATTCAATGTCTTGAAATTTCACGATGGCAAAATATGGATCAAAGGAATCCTCCCCAGCGGGGAATCGAACCCCGGCCAATTGTGCGCAGGCACGACCGTGCTGAAAGACAACTATCCTAACCATTGGACCACTGGGGATTCGTACTGTTTACTCATCAAATACATACTTATTCGTCTGTGTCTGTAACGTGTCATGGGCTGCAGGCGTGCCGTCGGATAATGACAACACGAACCATAATAATAGCCATTTCTGCCATTCATCCTGAGATATAGCGTCTACAATCTCTGGCGACAGCGTACATGTTGGTTTACCTTGTTTTTTTTTTTACGATCCCAAAGTTATCGAGCAATGGCTGGGAAGTGCCCGGGGACAGCCATATGGCGTGGAGCTTGCCAGCCTGCACCAGCCACCAAGTATTCGCTCAGTTGCAATATTAGGGAAGCTTCTGTTCTGATACTCCACCCACTGACCGCGGTCGGGGATGACGCGGACGTATAGTTCTGAATCGGGAATGTACGTCATCGACCCTTGCGCAAAGACAGAAAAGCTTGACGGGTGTGAAACAACGGGCCTCGCGCTTCTTGCCCTCTCCCCCCTCCAACGACGCTGCCCACGCGCGTTCACGACCCCGCTACGAACTCTCTCATCCCCAACGTACTCTCGATATGCCGCGCTCGTTCTGCATCCCAGGCATCGTAATCCTCGCCCTCGCGCTTGTATGCGGCATTCTCGCCAGCATCTCGCTGCCGTACCTCCCCGCCCTCGAGGTCTCCAAGACCAAGTTCAGAAGCACGGGCATCACGACGAGCAACTCGAACGACGTCATCAGTGAGCTTCGCGTGCGTGAACTGGTCTCGTTGCCTTGACTTGCGCTGACGATCTCGTTCCACTCCTGGGAATTTTCCATGACGCTGGCTATGACCACGACGATCCTGTGGCACTACACACTGCGGTTAATCCTCTCAATGCACCAATTTCCAACTGCAACAGACCGGCATCTGGTCGTACTGCTGGTACGCGGCGAGCAGCGGTGTAAATATATTTCACATTCGTCGGATTTTATCATTACTCAAACACTACCAATAGGACAGGACCTGTCGCGACTCTGGCTATGCCTATTCCTTCGATATGCACGGAACCAACAACGCCATGCTCACCATCAAGTCCCAGTGGACGCGTGGTCTTGTCATCACCCCCATCGGTGAGCGAGTTTCTGCACTATATTTGTGGACTGGGACTGACCGAGCCTCCCAGCTACCGCCGTCGCCGCTGTAGCCTTCCTGCTCAGCTTCTCGACTCATCTCACCGTCACCCTGTGAGTCTTCCGCACTGTGTCCGCCTCTTGTGCTAATAGCCCTTGCAGCGTGGCCTCACTCACGTCGTTCCTGGCGGCCACCCTTATGATGATCGCCTTCATTTGCGACATCGCTCTTTACGCATGGGTCAAGGCCAAGATGAACAACCTCGGTGTTGAAGTCGACACGAAGACTGGTGCAGGCACGTAGATCTTCGATATTAGATCTCTTCCAGCTATCTGACGTCGGTGTCAAACAGGCTTCTGGCTGACGTTCGCCTCGATGATCCTCCTCACGATTGCTGGCTGTACCGTTTGCTTTGGCCGTCGCCGCGACCAGCGTCTGGGCAGCGACAGCCGCCCCGTCAAGACCGGTGGCTTTTTCAGCCGCTTCCGTCGCAACCGCTACTGAGCGCAAGGACCATCTCCCTGAACACTTTCCGCCTGTAACATACACACGTGTCTTTGGCTCCCTTGTTTTGTTCTCTCACAATGCTGTTGAGCTGTAACCCGCCAGACATTTCACAATGGGGCTGCATGAATAAACCATTACTCTAGATCAAATGTTAAGATGGGCACGTGCGAATCTTGATGAGTGGCCTCGAATGAAAGATGCATCTACAGTCTAAGCCCGTTCTACTTGTGACCGTGTGGGTGCCATGAAATTCGTGGCCTTGGCCGAGCGCAGGAACATGCCATACTGCCAAGATAGTCAATCTTTGCCTTCTCTGCAAAACATCCCTTCCACCTCGCCCGACCACATGGCTCAGTGGCCATAATTTTGGCAACGTCTGACCCTTCATCAACTCGAAGAAGCGCTCACAGCAGGGACCGTGGGGTCGCGACCGCGCCAAATTGGTCCTGTTCATGACAGCTTGGGCTAGAAGCCACGACAAAACGGGTTCAGGAAAACCGATTCTGAGGGGGCTTCTAGCTGGGAACCGAGGCACGGGTCGATGTGTATTTCTTCTCCGCATCGGGACCTGGTCATGCTGCTGCTCTCCAATCAGGGATTAGGGACACACTGGCACGGTTTCGAGACCTCATTTCATGCACCTGGAAAAGAAAACAGATTTGGCTTTTTTTTTTTCGGGCGTTAACATTTTGTCATTCCAGACACGACTACGCGATGTTGGTGTCTGATATAGTGGACGATCGAACTTGCCTCATCAGGAATCTTTCTCCGTCATGCGCGAACTTGATTTTCTATCCTTTCTCTCACCAAAACTTACTGAACTATAATACGAGTCGAGCTTGTAAAGGGGGGATTTGCGGCTCGGATGTGACGACTCCATTTCACGCGGCCCTCTACACATCCTGAAGTATGAATACTGATCATTAATCTAGCTGGTCACCTGAGCTTAGTTCTTCAGCCGATCCTCAGGTAGAAAGGTGTGTACAAGTCGGAAACTTTGTCACGTCCTGTTCCCAATTAACACCGGTCCCCGCCTCTCCCCGACAACATGCCGCTTCAGCGGACAAGCACAGACTTTTACACTTTCCTTGAGCGTGGGATTCATATCAATCTCATCTCACCCAGTGACGGAAATGTTTGATTTGCAATGGAGTGGCCAGGTCTCGCGCCAGCAAGCTCTGGTGAGTTCTGGAGCTCAAGGATATGATCGCACCTGACATGTTATATGTCCCAACATCTGTCAAGTTGGACAGAAACGAGGTTCAAGTCCGCTCACCTCCCCCTTGCTCTCCCCAATCTTTCGCGTCACTTTGCCGTACTTGTGCTGCACACCCAAAGCTCCGGGTTCATAATTCAACTCAAGTACAATTGGATTTGAATACGCCTACTGGTCGTTCACGTCGCCGATTGCAGGGAACAAGCACATTCACAAAAGGGTCTGCAAGAAGTTCGAAAGAGGCCTCAAAGCGTCGCGAGTCTTCAGCTACTAGTAGAACGCGAAGCGTTTGCCCGGGCTTGTAAGCGGGGGCGGCGTCACCGTTACCCAGCTTGTCATACTCGTCTCACACATGAGCTTCGAGGCGGATGAATAATAATGTTCACGACTGACGGTTCGTGCTTTAAAACACGCCTCAAGCGTATAAATCGTCCCACATTTCGCTTTACAGCGGCCAAAACAAAACTGTGTCTAGTAACTTGGAGTCAAGCGAACTCCAGCAGCGTCAAGTATTACAACCGTGACCACTGACCGTAAGTTACGTCTTTCTGTATCTTGGGATTTTGGAATCTTGGCAATCAGACCACCGTGCTCTTACAGTCTGCACGAGACTTTGTGAGATATATCTCAAAGAAGACCACCAAGCAAGGTCCCACGCAAGTATATTAAGATGGAAGTAGAAACTTATACCTCGGCACTTGTAGCCTTCATCAGAAGGCTACTAATCTTCACCGATATCCGCGCCGGGGAAAGAAAGTTGCTCGGGATGAGCCGGTGTGTTCTTGAAACGAGATAATATATGCATAATGGAATCAGTCAGCATTCTCCACGGCCTCTATATCCACATTGAAGGCTTCACGCGGAACTACGGTCACGTTGTTCTCGAGTTCGGACTTGGCCGACCGCCATGAACCTTGAATGGGCGGCGCAGATCTGAGAGCCCTGTCACTCTCCATGCCGCCCCTCACTCCAACCGAAAAGCGAGATATCTTCGCGTTTCTCGCGCGCGGTATCTTTCGCCCTCACTCGCCACAGAACGCGCGAAACGTGCACTTTTGTCCAGCATGCCTTCAGGACGTGTTCGAAGTCCTTGCAAAAAAAGCGCCCCTGGTCACGGCAATTCTCTACTCACAGAGATACGCATCAAAGGCTCAACCTTTTGCACCGAGGCGATGGCATTTCTCGGAGATCGCTGGGATATATCGTCTATCGCCCTCGTCAACTCCCTGCTCGTGGGCGTGCAGGCGCGCTGCCCAAAATTGCCGAACATGACCAGCCATTCGACGTTTTGGGGCTCGGTCAATGCAGCAATTGACTCAGTTTCAACTCTCAGCTGGCTGATGAGCGGTCTTATTGATACAGTGTCCGATAACGTCGGTGACGTTCGCGAGCTCGACCCTTGGCCGACGACGTTGGCGGATCTCATCCCACTCGGCATCAACAACTTCGTGCATGCGCAGCTAATGCGTCAGCAATATCAAAACGACGGAACTCCATATGCTCTGCTCACTGCAGTTCTCAAGGTGGACGGTCTCACCACACCGAAAATGTTCTTCCCCGCGCTCAAGCGGTGGCGCGCCTTGTTTACGCTCGACTTCCCAGCGCGCCTGCATAACAGCTCAAAAGATCTCCTTCGCCATGGAGCAGATTCATTTAGCCACAAGGCCGCGTTCATGTTCGTGTACAGGCTCATCGTGTGCCTCACGGAACCCATGGCCCTGGAGTCAGCCGAGCTTCGCGAGATCTTCGCTGGATACGAGGATAGCCTCACACAGGCGCTCGAGCCAGCAGCCTTCGACGCTATCGAGAAGCTCGCAATGGCCGAGAAGCATGAAGAAGCTCGCAGACGTCTCAAGTTTGTCATGAATGCGAATATGTCAAGGTTCATGCTGCAAGCAACTGGGCGTCGGTGGCAAGGCGCGGACTGGTGTCCGACCCACCTCACTGCTGCTTGCAAGGCATTGTTAATCAAGATGCGCCAGCGATCGACGCGTTGTGACGAGCCAAACTGCTTGCGCGAGCACGGGGACGACGACGGCGCCATTGCGATACAAAAGTGCAGTCGCTGCAAGGCGTTCCGCTATTGCTCGACCGAGTGCCAACGTGCGCACTGGTCAAGCGCAACGCGCCCGCACAAGACGGTCTGCAAACTTTTTCAAGCTTTGGGGCAAATTGCCAGCTTTGATATGGATCCCGACTTATTTGGACGTGC